TTTTGCGGTACGCGGGCCTCTCACTGTTGTGGCCTCTCCCGTTGCGGAGCACAGGCTCCGGACGCGCAGGCTCAGCGGCCATGGCTCACCGGCCCAGCCGCTCCGCGGCATGTGGGATCTTCCCGGACCGGGGCACGAACCCGTGTCCCCAGCATCGGCAGGTGGACTCTCAACCACTGCGCCACCAGGGAAGCCCTTCCCTGTCTCTTAAACCAGCAGTAAGAACACCCACCTCACAGGGAAGTTAGTTGTGAGGATTGAATGAAGACAGGGATGTGGAAGCTCTTTGCAAACTGAAAATGCTGTGAAGTTATGACTCTGATCCCCACTGCCGATCCTCCCATGGCAGAGTTGTTAACAGGCGTGAGCTGAGTCCATCCCACCTGCATCCCACCTTCCAGCCCCATGAGCTCGGGCAAGTAATTGAGCGTCCTGAGCTGCAGTCTCCCCATCTGTAGAATGTACTGAAGATAGGGTTGTTGTACAATTTGATTACATGGGATAATACCTGTCAAGTGTGCAACACATAGCAAGTGCTTAATAAATAGTAGCTCGAGTTATTATTACCACGCCAAGCCTACGGTACACACCTGGAGGTCACCTGAAAATGTTCTAGTGAGGGAATTCCCTGGTGGTCCCGTGGTTAGGACTCCACACTTTCACTGCTGAGGGCCCGGGTTCGATTCCTGGCTGGGGAACTAAGGTCCCAAAAGCCATGCAGAGTGGCCAAAAAAGAAAAGAAAATGCTCTAGTGAGATAGTGATAGAGCTGGGCAAGAACTTGGAGGCCAGCAAGGCTGAACCCTCGTTTTTGAAGAAACTGATCCCTCGCCGAAGTCATAGCGTCAGATCCTCTGCTAGGCTGGGACACGCAGAGGCAAACGGAAGATCTGGGGCTCAGGGGCACCTCCTGCTGTCTCCCCAGAGTCCATGCCCTTGCGCAGGAGCCTCTGCTCCCCCATTTTCCTGTGGAGCCTCCTCACCATGGGCATGACCCAGCTGCGGATCATCTCCTACATGGCCGCTATGAACAAGATGCTGGAGCACATCGTGACCGGTGGCCAGGAGCGTGGTGAGGCGCAGCCGAGCCCACTGGGGGCTGGAGGTGCAGGGGGTCACCCTGGCTGAGCTCCGCTCACCCTGGCTTTCCCCCTCCACCCCCAACAGAGACGGACGACCTGAAACGAAGAGTGACAGAGACAGGTAGGGGGACAAAAGCTCGGGTCCTTGCCCACACCCACCCCGCCACTGCCTGCTGTGGGGGGAGCCTGGACCCACCCTTGTCGCCCTGGGCATTTTGGGGATCTAAGAATTTGGGGGTGAAAGGAAGGTGATTTTGGCATTTTCTCTCTGCTGGACGTGGGTGACAGTGCCCACCAGGCTGCTGGCATCTGTCATGTCAGCTCCTGACCCCACTTCTCTTCCTGCCCTGCCCAGTTGAGTTCTACTCGTCCGTCTTTGGGGCCATGCAGCTGTCGTGCCTTCTCACCTGCCCTCTCATTGGCTACGTCATGGACTGGCGGATCAAGGACTGCGTGGACACCCCCACTGCTAGGTGACCTGCCCAGGGGTGGTGACAGCTTTGTGCTTCCACATCCAGCATCTTATTTCATTCTCCCAAGAGCCCTGGGAGAGAAGGGGTACATCCCCATTTTACAGATGAGGAAACTGACACTAAGAGGGGACTTGGCTGGCTTGATAATAAGTATAGCTGACATCAAATGCTGACTGTGCGCTAGGCACTTGCGTTGTCCTATTTAGTCCTGCACCAGCTCCTGGAGGTAGGTACCTACATTATTATCCTCGTTTCATAGATGAGGAGCTGAGATACAGAAAGGATAACTAACTTACCCAAGATCACACAGCATTTAGTAGTAGGTTCCAGAACCTTTGTTATAAAGAGTACGCTCTAAAGCCTTCTTATGGTTAGAAAGAGATAGAGTTGGTGTATTAGACATCTATTGTTGTACAACAAATCACCCCCAAACTTGGCATATTTAAACAACAAACATTTATTATCTCATAGTTTCTGAGAGTCAGGAATCTGGGAATGACTTAGCTGGGTGGTTTTGTCTCAGAGTCTGTCTGAGTCTGTTCAGACTGGTATAACAAAATACCACAGACAGGGTAGCTTATAATCAATGGAAATTTATTTCTCACAGTTCTGGAGGCTGGAAGTCTGAGATCGGGGTGCCAGCATGGTCAGGAGAGGGTCCTTTTCTGGGTGTAAGACTTCTCGTTGTGTCTTCACATAGAAGGACCTAGGGAGCTCTGTGGGGCCTCTTTATAAGGGCACAAGTCAAATCCCAGAGGCCCTACGTCTACCTCTATTTTGTTGTTGTTCTTGTTTTCTTTTGGCCCTGCCCCGCGGCTTGTGGGATCTTAGTTCCCTGACCAGGGATCGAACCCGGGCCCCCTGCAGTGGAAGCTTGGAGTCTTAACCACTGGGCCGCCAGGGAATTCCTGGCCCTACCTCTTAATACCATCACGTGGGCATTAGGATTTCAACATAACAATTTGTGGAGGACACAAACATTCAGGCCATAGCAGGGTCTCTCATACGGTTGTGGTCAAGCTGTTGGCCAGGGCCGCAGTCATTTGAAATAGTGACGGGTTGGACAGTCACTCCTAAGCTCACTCGTGTGCCCATTGGAGGAGGTTCGGTTCCTCCCCACCTGGGCCTCTCTATAGTCTGCTCATGACACGGCAGCTGGCTGGCCCCAGAGCAAGACAGCTAAGGGAGGGACACCAGGACAGGAGCTACAAGGTCTTTCCTGACGTCATCTCAGAAGTGACGTGCACGAGTGAGGCTGTCTTCTGTAGGTACACAGAGTAACTCTGGAAGCTCGTGGAAGGGGACTGTACCAGGGTGTGAATGCAGGATGCGGGGATCACTGGGGCTGTCCTGTGGGCCGGAGACCACCAATGGGTCTTTTTCTCCCCACCACATTTTATGTATTTATTTATTTTTGGCTGCGTTGGGTCTTGGTTGCTGCGCGCGGGCTTTCTCTAGTTGCGGAGAGCGGGGGCTACTCTTCTTCATGGCGCGCGGGCTTCTCATTGCGGTGGCTTCTCTTGTTGCGGAGCACGGGCTCTAGGCGTGCGGGCTTCAGTAGTTGCAGCACACGGGCCCAATGGTTGTGGCTCGTGGGCTCTAGAGCGCAGGCTCAGTAGTTGTGGCGCACGGGCTTAGTTGCTCCACAGCATGTGGGATCGTCCCAGACTAGGGCTCAAACCCGTGTCCCATGCATTGGCGGGCGGATTCTTAACCACTGCGCCACCAGGGAAGCCCCACGCCACTGGGTCTTGCTCGAAGGTCTTCTGACTGCTTGTGTTCTTTTTGTGTTGATCCAAACAGTCCTGTTTGTCCTGAGAGGATGGGAGAGGGAGACCAGGAGAGAAGTCATCTAAGGATGCGGCTTCCCTCCCCACCAGTGGTGCCCTGGCCCTGGTACCCAATCTTCCTCCTCTACGCTCTGCTCTGACGGCCATGGCCCATCAGCTGAGCCCTTCTCTCGGACCAGTGGGCGGCCTGTCTTCATCCATCTCAGCCTGCTGACCTCTCCTTTGGGCCAGACTCAGAGCCCTTGATTATGCTAGAGGCAGGGGCTTGCTGGGCACTCAGGGGCCAAGCGGCTATCCCTAGAGTGTCATCTACTTTTGTCTAGGCTGGTGGGCAGGGACACTTTTGTGGGGGCTTCTGATGAGAGATGGTGTGAGAGCTCCCCATTCTCCACCTTCCTTCCCATCCTCGATTCTCAGACTTCAATGTGCTTATGAAATAGGAGATGGTTTTCCAAATGCAGATTCCAGGGCCCACCACCCGAGATTCTGATGTTTGGGGCAAGGCCCTGGAATCTGCATTTTAAAGAAAAGCTCCAGATGATGCTGGGGGAGCCACGCTTTGAGAAACACAGGGCTGGAGGAATGACTTTCTCCCTTTTCTGCTACCCTGAAAGGGGAGGGACCATGCTGAGAACCCAGGGGGTGGGGAGGGCTGCCAAGGAGGTTGGGGCAGCAGCCGGTGACGGCCTGTTCTCCTCAGGGACGGTGTGGCCACCAAGTCCGTCAGACCACGCTACCGCAAGATCCAAAAGCTCACTAATGCCATCAATGCCTTCACTCTGACCAACCTTCTGCTCGTGGGTTTCGGCATCACCTGCCTCATCAACAGCTTACACCTCCAGGTACCGACTTCCATCCTCCCCGCTCTCCCTGCCTTGCGGAGTGCCGCCCCAGGCATGGTTCACCCGGCAGGTGCTTTCCAGGAAGCAGGGCTCCCGTCCTCTGGGTCTGTTTTCTGGGCTGTCCAGGAAGTGTTTGTAGGAGGTTGGGTTGGGAGGGGGCAGGCGCATGCAGGCTCCTCACTGTCACCGCCCTCCCTCCTGTGTCCACACGGCTCTTCAGCTCTCCCCGCTTTCTTTTTGGTTTCAGTTTTTGACCTTTGTCCTGCACACCATGGTCCGAGGCTTCTACCACTCGGCCTGTGGAGGCCTCTACGCAGCAGTGTGAGTCAGCTGGGCTCCTGGGCTCCCCTGAGCGCGCCCTTCTGCAGCCTCCCTGGGCTGCTGCTGTGTCGGGCCTGGAGAGGCTCTGGAGGCTGCCTGGCTCGCTGCCCTCCCCGCAGCTTCCTAATGGCAGGGAGCTCACTTCCTCAAAGGCAGCCCGCCCCACTGTGGGATGACCCCACTGTCAGAACGTCTTCCCTTAGGGGCAGCTGAGATCCTTGGTTGCATGACACTTGGGTCCTATGTCTGCTCTCGGGAACGGCCCCTGGAGTGGCCTCTCTCCCCATGCCAGCCCTGTCGAAACTTCCAGACAGCAGTCTCGTTTGCCTCCTGACTTTCCTGCTTCATGTCGAACAGCCCCCTACCCTGCCCCACCCCCCTGGCCCTGTTCCCTGTTCCCTTTTCCCTTTTCCTCCTGGTTTCCACGGCTGAGGGTCTCTCCAGTGTGTGATGGAGTAAAAGAGCGGTGACAAAATTGTAACTGTCCTGGAGCGCTTATGACTCCGTCGTGGGCGTGGCGTGAGATGCTGACCCCACGCCCTCATTCAGACCTCAGAGGGCAGCCCCAACCGGACCTTGGAGTCGTCCTTGCTTCCACGCCCTCATTCCTCACAGCCCACATCCAGTCCACCAGCGAGCCTGCCCGCTCCACATTCCACAGACTCCAAACCCAGCCCTTCCGAGCATCTCCAGCGGTTCCACCCCCTGGCCTGGATTATTGCCGCTGCCGCTGCCTCCTGACCATCCCTGCGTCCACCCTTGCTTTCCCTCCGTATTTTTAACACAGGAGCTGGAGACACTTGTTAGGACATAAGTCTCTTCACGTCACTCCACAACTGCCCATTTTATCTCACGTAGAGAAAAAGCCAAAGGCTTCATTATAGCTTAAAAGGCCCTACAGGGTCCGCCCCACCCCCCCAGGGACCTCTTCCTTCACCTCCCCACCTCGCTCACCCCCTTTTCCCACATGGCTGCCTCATGCCACAGAAACCCTATGTGTGTTCCCTCCTCAGGGCCCTTGGACTTGCTGTCCCCTCTTCCTGGCAGGTGCTTCCTCCAGATATCCACAAGGCTCCCAGCCATCTCACCTTCTCCAGGCCTTTCTCCATCTGTCCTTGTCTCAGTGGCCTCTGCCGGCCATCCTGTCTACAGTCGCAACCCCCTAGATACCCTCACCCCCCTCTCTCTGCTGAACTTCTCTCCATAGCACTTACCGCTTTCTAGCACACTGTGCGTTTTTGTTTTGTTTTGTTTTTTTGGCCACGCCCGGCATGCGGGATCTTAGTTCCCAGATCAGGGATCGAACCCATGCCCCCTGCAGTTGAAGCACAGAGCCCTAACCTCTGGACCGCTAGGGAAGTCCCAACGGTGCATTTCTCTTGCTTGTTGTGTGACGACCACCTGCGTGCCGCCCCCCAACCCCCCACCTATCGCCAGAATGCCACCTCCATATCTGTTTGGTTCATTGCAGTTTCTCCATCCACCTAGAACAGTACCTGGCACGTCATAGGAGCTCAATAAATATGTGTTAAAAGAATAAACAAACAGCCCAGCGAGGTTAGTGCTACCCTGTTTTTAGGGAACAAAGTGAGGCTCAGAGAGGTTGAGTAACTTGCTGTTATCACACAGACAGTAGGTGTCAGAACCCAGCTCAGTAGCCGTGAAGTCACAGCATACATCCTCCGAGGCCAGGGCACATGCAGAGAACCTGAACTCTTAAGCTCTGCCCTGCCTGGCTAACAAAGAGTGATATCTAGGGAGGGATGGGACAAAGGGTGGGGCTGGAGAGGGCCACGCCCCTCACGACACGCGCCCCCCCCCCCCCTCTCATTGACAGGTACCCGTCCAACCACTTTGGGACACTGACGGGCCTGCAGTCCCTCATCAGTGCTGTGTTTGCCCTGCTCCAGCAGCCGCTTTTCATGGCCATGGTGGGACCCTTGAAAGGAGAGCCTTTCTGGGTGAGAAGTCGGTGAGGGGTGGCATGGGGGCAACAGGATCCCCCTACCTGGGTGCACCCAAGGAGTTGAGGATGGGGGCTCTTGTATGTGATGGGATCCCTGGCTCTTATCTCAGCCAGGAGGCACCTTGCAGGTCTCTAATCAGGGGGTTCCCAAGCTGGCTGTCCATCAGACCTGCCCACAGATTCCCCAGCCTACTGAATCAGCATCTCTTGGCCTGGGCCCAGGAAGATCCCAGGTGATTTGTATAGTGACCCAGTCCTGATCCAGTCCAGTTCCACCCGATGCAGGGATCGTCTCTCCAGAGCCCCTAGAAAGGGGCTTCTCCAGACCCTCTTAGTCAAACGCCCACGGCGATGGGGTGCCGGTCCTGTACAAGGAGGCAGCCGTTGGTCTTGTTGGAAAGGCTTTTCTTTACATCGAACTGACCTCACCTCCCTAAAGCTGATATCTGCCTCGAGGGCCCACCCACTCCCCACAATGATCCCGCCACAATGATGACGAAATGACAGCTGCCATTTCCCAAGTGCTCACCAGGTGCCAAGCGCACCGTGTGTTCTGTACTGCACGTTGCCACAATGGCCCAGAGAAGGAGGTGCGTCGAATTAGGATGACTTGCCCAGAGCCACACCGTGAGTAATGCAGGGTGGGATGTGCGCTGGGTCCGAGCCCACGGGAGGTGGGCTCGGACTCAGGCCTTCTATCCCAGGCTGCACCCCAGTGCTGTTAACCGCCTGGGAGCACCACTCTCAATGGGATCCCATTGCCAACGCCCTCAAAGGTCGAGGTTCCCAGCCCAGGCTACCCAGACGGCACTAGATCATTTGGGCACCAGCATTAGCTGGGGTTCAAACCAGGCTCTGACACTTTATAAGGCTGCCGAACATTCAGTGAGATGCTGGTGGAGAGATCGCAGACGGCGAGTACTGGCTCTTATCTGTCATCCTGGCCCAGGACCTGGACTAAAAATGGCTGCCTTGTCCTCCCTGTGGGATGCTAAGGAGGATCCCTGAGGGTCATGAGGGTGAACAGGTACCCACTTGACTCGCTTTTCTCTCTCTCTCTCTCTCTGCCCTAAAGGTGAATCTGGGCCTCCTGCTGTTCTCACTGCTGGGATTCCTGCTACCTTGCTACCTCTCCTACTATCGCGCCCGGCTCCAAAGGGAGTACATCACCCACTGGGAGGGCCCCCTGAAGGTGCTTGGCAGCCCTGAGGTGACTGCCTAGGCCTCTGAGGGGCCTGGGTGACAGGCAGTCAAGGCCTGAGCAGCCAAAGGGAATGCCTCGTGGCTTTTCTACCTGTAACCTCCGCACAGAGCCAGGCGCCGGGGATCTATAAATACCAAGAGAAGTTCTATTTTTGTAGGGACTTGTTAAAAAGGAAAAAAAAATTAAAAAATCCCCAAAGCAGTGCTCCGTTGACTGAAGATGTCCCCCGTGCTAGGATCGGACCTTCTTGCTCCTGGGATTGGAGGAGACCAGGGTGCAGCCCTGCCCTTTCTCTGGGCCTAGGGGTCTGCCTGCTGCTGCCTCCTGGGGGCTTGTGGGATCAGTGAACAGGTGACCCCTAAGATCTCAGCCGTGCAGTGTCCAGAGTGTGCAGGCATGTGTGTGTGTGCATGCGGGTGTGAAAATCCCTGCCCCTCAGAGGAAAGGGGCCTGAGGTGCTGGCTGTGTCCCGAATGCTGCCGCGTGGGCAGTAAGCCCCTTCCTGAGGCTGGAGGGTGGGTTCCCTCCCTGCTGCTGCTGCTGCTTGCAGATCTTAGAGGAAATAAAAAGGGAAGTGAGAGACTGGCTGGTGTGTGCCTGCCTGTGTCTTGGGGGAGGGGGGTGTCTTCCCACACCCCATCCCTCGTCCTCAGCCAGGCTCAGCTGGGCATTAAGTAGGACACCTGAAGTGCCAGCCTGTCCACCTGTGGCTGTCTGGCTCACCTCCCTGTTCTCAACCATACCCTGCCCTTAGTGTCTGGAGGGAGTCCAGATCCTGCCCTCTGCTCCTGCCCGCCACTTCTCAGGGTTTGGGGTACATCCGGGAGGTTGGCCTTTCTCCCTCCAGGGGATAAGGGCAGGATGCTTTGGAGAGAATGCTAAGGAATGCCTCTCAAACTTTCCTATCCAGGGATCCCTGGAGGGAGGTCTGTCGCAAGTAACATTCTTTATAGTGTTTTATCTTAAAACTTCATGCAAATTTTGAGCTTCATTTTATGCTATATTCATATTTACTTTTAGCAATAAAGTGAGGCTTTAAAATTACCTGCATCAAGGGAAGACACTGTCTTTGAGGACAAGGGACCTTCCAGGAAGCTATACCTTATTTATCCCACTCCTACATCTCTTTCTGTCCTGGGACATAAACCTTAAAGTCACAGAATGGAGGGATGGGTCAGGGAGGGACCACTAACATTTGTTGAGGATCTGCCTGTCCTAGCTACACAGGTATCTCATTTCATCCTAACTGTAGAAGTCGGTGTCTTCAGGTGGTTTCGTAGATTGAGGAAAGCTCAGATTAAGGCAGAAGACCCAAGGGCACACAGCTGGTAGGTGGTGGAGCTGAGCTTGGAACCTGGGCATTCTAACCGCTGAGTCCCAACCACAGGTCTGCCAAGGCAGTCAGCGGCAGAAAGGAGGTCCCAAGATTCTGAGCTCAACTTTCTGCTGCCCTCTCAGGGCTGAGAGTAACCACAAAAGCCTTATCCTCCCCCCCACCACACACACACACCAAAAAAAACCTTGGAGAACCCCCAAATTTTAGCCCTGGAAGACAGTATTACAGATAAGCCCTCCCTTTGTCTTAAACTGTCTTTAGGAGTTGATAAAACAGACTGACCCGCCCATTTCATAGATGACCAGAGGGGTCTGGAGACTTGACGAAGTCGCACAGCAGATTACCTGGCTGCTCTGAGCCCAGACTCCTGGCTTGCAACACTGTGCCCTTTTCGCAAAATAGAAACCAGAACTGGACAGCACCCACCAACGGGTTGGACGGGTTCCCAGAGGCCTCACCCTGGTCTCACTACACTCTCTGTCCCGGACCTTGACTTTCCCTACAGTCCTCGGTGTGCCCAGCAGGCGGCGCTGCGTGGCTGTGGCTGGGACGGGGTGTGAGGGTGGGAGCCGGCGGCGAGCCAGGAAGGGAACCTCGACACCCCTCCACATACACCCCTTACGCACTAGTCTGCCCTTTCCTGGGTCTCGATCTCCAGACCCCTACCCTGGCTTGCTCTGCCCTCCTTCGCCGAACATCCTTACAAGCGTTATCCCCCGCCCCACTGACCCTCGAGGCTGAAGGAGGGGGTCTCGACTCTGCCCCTGCCCAGCTGGGGCGTGGGACCGGGTGGGAGATGCAGGCAGAGATCTCGGCCTCCTGGGGGAGGGGTGTCTCCTCCCTCCCCGTTCCCGGGGCGGGGAGCTTGGGGAGGGGGCTGGGCAGGGGCGGAAGCGAGCTGCAGCCGTGTTCGCCGCGGCGCTGCCGAGTGGAACAGATGGCTGGGGAGGGGAGAGGGTACGTGGCGGGGAGGAGGAGGAGGGGTGCGGGGGCCGCAGGATGAGGAACGAGGAATTTCGACGCCCCGAGTCTCCCAGGAGAAGCCCCCCTCCCCATCTCTTCCCAGAAAGAGGGCCGGGCAAGCGCCTGCCTTTTTTCCCGGAGAGCCCCGGCCTCTGGCCTGCGGCAGACCCCGCCGTCCCCCCGGGTCGCGCCCCTCACCCCCTAGGCTCCCGGCGCGGGCCAAGCCGGCGGGGTCCGGGCCGCAGGGAGCAGCCCGGGTCGCAAGGATTAATGGGGCCACACTCCGAGGGGCGAGGGGGCGGCGGGAAGCGGGTTCAGGGATCGTAAATAGCTGAGGGAAAACGTGTTAATTGGAACTTCATGCAGATGAGCTGGGACGCGGGCTGGGGAGGACGAAGGAGGGAGGTCTGCCGGACGCCGGGCCCGAGGGGAGGGCAGCAGGGCTCCGGCCGCGGGGGTGATGGGTAGATGTGTATCTGTTTATCGCTGCGTGGGACCTCCGGGGAGCGGGACCTCCGGGGAGGGCCGCTGGTCTCTGAAGATGAGGGCTCCTTCCTCCTTGACCCTACGCCCCAGGAACGGGACTATTCTAGAGTCCCCACATCCCAGGACCAGAAGTTCAGGGTCTCAGATCGCCACGAAGGTGGGGGCAACGTGCAAGTGACTGTTTCCGCTTGTGGCTGCTTACACTGGGTGTGACATTCACTGCATGCCCCCTCCCCCATCTGTCTCCATCCTTTTTCCTCAACCCTGGCAGCACCCTCTCCTTGGAGAGTGTTGTCTGTAACTTCCAGCAAGTGAGTGGGGGAGGGGAGGGAATCTAACTTGTCTTCCTTTGCTTTCTCCCCTCTGCCCCCCAAGGACCACCCCACCTTTGAGGAGGTGTTTCTCAGCCTTTAGAGAGCTTCATAACCCACCCCTACGTGTTAAAATGCAGATTCCGGGACTCCCTTAGAGATCTGGTTCAGGGGCTCAGGAATCTGCATCTTAGCAGTTTCCCACCTAAATCAGATATAAAAAACCTTCATTTTCAGAAACACTGTGCAGGGAATTGGTGGGCTGGAAAGACCGGACAAGTGTCCATCAACAGCCCCCCACCCCTCCTCCATGCTCCTGACCTCACCTCTGCTCTGTATGGCCATCTCTGCTTCCGGTGTGAGAGTACCAGGGGATGGAGAAGGTGCCAGAAAGGAGGGAAGGAAGGATGGAATGGGGGGAGGAAGGAGAAAGGAGGAGAAAGAAAGAGTGAGGCTCACCTGGCTGTCCTCTCTCTGAGCAGGGTCTCCCTTCCTCTCTCTGCTACCTTCTTTCCTCCCGTCTGCCTCCGCTGCTCCAACCATCTTCCTCTCTCACCTCCCTTCCCCCACCTCATCTGAAGTTTCTAAGAAGGCCAAAGAATCTTGGAGTAGGCAGTTTGGATCTTAGGGAGTAAGGGCAGAGCCAAAGTCCCCACCTCCAAAAGAAAGAGGCAAAGCACCTACCTCTGGGGTAGGAAGAAAACAGGAGGGAGGCAGGGCTTGAGGAAAGATAAGGGTGACAGCAAACATATACGCCACCTTTCCACGGGCTATTGCACTTACTCCCCACAACAACTCAATTTAGGCAGGTGCTATTGTCCCCAGGTTATACATGCAAAACAAAACAAGGGATGTTCAGAGAGGTTAAGTGACTTGCTCAAGGTCACACAGTAAGTGGGAAAATAGATAGGTCATTCATCCTTCTATTTCCCCCAAATCATTTCTCAAGAGGCTGCTGGGTAGCTGACCCAGGCCTCCCCTCCCTGCCCTACCCCCGCCCGGGGCAGTGGGGGTGGGGAAGGGCATCATGTACAGAGATGAAAGGAGATGCTCGGGTTTCGGAACATCTGACAAGCCTGGCTGGAAGCATTAAAAATTCATATAGAAACCTGACCCCAGCTGGACCTTGGGTCTGCCACCTGGACTGTCCCTGGCCTGGTGGCCTCTCAGACCCTGGTGGGCAAATTTCCTTTCAGCAGTGTCCTGGGAGCCCCCGAGTCCGTATTTCACAGGAGGGGGGTTCTCTCATGGATTAGGGAGCTAAAGTCAGGAGCCAGCAGCTGAGAAAGCAGGGCTGAGAACCCTCCCCCCACTCTTGAGTGTAAGAACCTTAGAGGTTTCAGGGCTTATATACCTTGTCATCTGGCGTCCTTCTATTCCTCTCCCCAGGCAGACAGACACTCACTCTCAGTTTAGGGTAACTCAGTCTGGCTGTGATACCCGAGGTGACCAGTGGAGGGCAGCTATCTCCTATGAGGGAGCCCTAGCCTGAGCCTCTACCGCAGCTCTGAAGGACAGGAAAAGAACCCCATGGATAAGGTCCCGGAGATGCAGTTTTGGCCTTGGGGAAGGGCTCTGGAGTCTGTCATCTGAGGACAGGGGGAGAGGGCTCCTAGTCTGGGGGAGATTGAGGAATTTTGGGGAGGGTTCAAAGTAGGTTTGTGGGTTTCAAGTACATGGTAACTGATGGCCAGCATGATACAATCTTTCTAGCTGGAGTGAAGGTTTGGGAGGAGGCCACGAGAGAGAAAGCTAGAAAGGCAGTTGGGACCAGACTCTAAAGGATCTTTGATGCTTTGCTAAGGTGTTTTATCTTTAACCTGTAGGCAATAGGGAGCCATTGTAAGTTTCTGAGTAACAGAATGACATAATACAAATGTTGGTCAGATGAATCTGGCCAACAGGGGCCAGTTGAGTGGGAG